ACCCTGCCGACTCGCTCTACTCGTTCCTCCCTCCCCCCCTCGCTCCCAGTCCCCGTCCGCTTTCCCTCGCCCCTCCTCCTCTGTCCCCCCTCCCCCCCCTCCCTCCTCGCTTCCTCACCCTCTCTCCCCCCTCCTGGAAAAAGGGGCCCCTCCCCCCCCCCTCCCCTGGCTCCCCTCCTGGGCCCTCCTGGCCCCCTCGGGCGGCCGGGGCGGCCACGCGGAGTGCCCGGTCGCGCAGCGCGCTCGGCGAGCGGGGAGGGGGGGAGGCGACCCCGCGAGCCCGGCGCGCGCCGCGGCCCTCCGAGAGCGCCGCTCGGGGGCGGCAAAGAGGGGGGGGGCGACCTAGGGGGGGGACGACCTAGGGCGGGGGGGACGACCTAGGGGGGACGACCTGGGGGGGGGGGGGGGGGGGCGACCTAGGGGGGGGGGGTATCATGGCGGGGGCCATGACTTTTCCCCAGATCTCATGGCGCCCCTTCTTATTTCGTTACGGTAGGTTAGTGTCGTGTCGACCAGCGGCGACCCCAGCGCGGGCGTTCAAGGTTGAACGCCGCCGGCGACCCAGAATCGATCGATGTTGAACGATCGGACGTTGCGGCAGCGGCCGATCGTTCAAGGTTGAACGATCCCTGCGGTGTCAAAAACCAACGCTGGGGTCGGCACGACACGAACCTGCCGTAGGGGGGGGGATATCATGGCGGGGGCCAGGATTTTTCCCCAGATCTCATGGCGCCCCTTCTTGTTTCGTTACGTCCCTGGCCCCCCCGCTGGGCCGCGCACATGCCGCCGGTCATGATTTGCACCCCCCCCCTCTTGGACACCCCCCTCTTGGCCGCTCCCGAGCCGCGCAGCTCGGCGCCTCTCTCGGGCCGGACGAGAGGGGGGGAGTGGGAAAGGGGGGGGTACGAAATTTGCTGCAGGCAGCCGGTTTCGGCCCCGCCGAGGGGTCCACTCCTCGATACATGGCCGCCTCCGGGAGGCGCCGGGAAAATCAGCTGCGTGAGCTGATTCTCAACCCCCCCTTTTGCTATCCCCCCCTTTCGCCCGTCTCGACTCTCCGCCAAAGAGAGCTGCGCCTGGCTATGTATCCATGTCTCTCTGGAACTTGATGTTAGTCTTAGCATGTTGATGCCGTGCGCCTTCCGCAACGGCTTCACAGGTTCTTGTGTCGGCTTCCGTGCAGGTTTCCAGGCATGGCCACCCGGTCAGGGGCGCGTCTGCGCAAAGAACAAAAATAGAGATGCGCTTGGTTATGGGATCGTGGGCTTGTCGGCAGGTCTTGCTTCCCGCCCGTACCGCGACGCATCCGTTCATCCGCTTGGCATGCCCTATATGGCGACCCACAGGGAATCACAGGCCGCGTGTTTACAGATGGCGCATGCAGGAAAAGATCGACGTTGTCCGACAGATCCAGAGCAGGATGGGGTTTCGCTCAACTGACTTCTCGGGGCGTCAGTACCGTTGCACTTGGGTCTTTACCTGGTCCTTGCAAACCTCACCAAGCGCTGAAATGCATGCCTTCGTGCAGGTTTTAATTGTGTGCATCCCTCCCATGATTATTATCACCGATTTTAAGAGCCTCCTTGATGGGCTCGACAAGGGCCGAAAGTGGGGCACCGCGCCTCGAAGGAATAACGTCGATCTTTGGGAGGCCATCTGGGGGAAAGTAGATGACCTCGGAGGCCTCGGAACTAGTGTCTTTGTTGACCTGTGTAGGGGCCACCAGAAAGGGACCTGGGGAGCTCGCCCGTGGGAACAGATGGGCCGACCTTGCGGCCACCTGCGGGCGCGACCTCCACGCGGCCAGCAAAGAGACCTGCAAAGCCATGTGGTTGTTGCGCACAGTAGTTCCCTCGTTTGCCTGCAGTGGACGGTGCAGGCATTTTGCTTGTATGGGGGTCGGACTCGCACCATTCCTAGTGCTAAGCGCCAAGTCAGCCCCGCCCGCAGACGGGAGGACAGTCCCGAGCCTGCTCCCCAATTTCGGCGCGCGATGTGCCCCATACGTCGTAGGTTGCTTCAACGGTGCAAGTTCTGTCAAGTAGAATCCAAGACCACCGCCCTGGCTGACAGGCTTTGACATCGCCCCTGCCCTGCTCGCCTGCGGGCGTCGGAGGGTACTCCTGCACTCTTGCCTGCGCAGCGTCCTGTGTTGGTGGGGGGCGGCTCCAATCCTGGAGTCCCGCGTGGCACCTGCCACGACGACCCTCTCAGGTGTTCTGGAAGCGCTGGCCCCTCGGCTCGAGAGGGGACATCGCCGACGGATGCGCCTGCCTGGGACGGCTTGGGAGATGGCAGCGGAGCGGGTGGCCTTGGGATGGAGGCTGCCCAGGCTGAGAGAGGCACTGGTAGCCTCCATGCTGCTCTTCCCTCCCCCCCCGACGTCTCGGACCTTCGTCGTGCGACTCGTCGTCTTCGCCACTCGGGGGACGTTGAAGCGTCGGATTCTGAGGGCGGTGGTCGTTGTGTTCGCCCGAGGGTGCGTATCTTTCGATCCCGTCCAGCTCGCGTGCTCTCCTGATCAGATGCTGCCTGGTTGGGCCGCCTCAGCCATCGTGATACCAGATCGCGAAGGCCTTGCGTTTAGGCCCGACAAGCGTCGCAGGCTGGGCAGCAAAGGCGGGAACTACAGACCCGCTTTTGGCGCCTGCACGGTGCCTGCCATTACCCCCCCCCTTCCGCGGGCCCGTCCCCTCGGAGGCTGCCAGGGGCCATCGGCTCTGGGTGGCCTCGTCCCACGTCGTGTTGTGCGTTTCGTGCGGCTTCTACACTGCGGGCACGGCAGGGCACCTGCTCTTAGATTGCTCCTCTGGCACTGCTTGCCATCACCTCTCCGAGAGGGCGCAGAGGAGTCGTCGCCAGTTTTTGGCTGGGGCCCATCCCGCGGATGAAGGGCGAGCGGATTTTCGGAGAATCTCGACACCTCGGCCCCTCTGGGGCTCGGACCCTGAGGCCCACTGGGTCAAGCTTTTACAGAACCACTGTTTTGGGACCGAAGAGGAGAGCAGCGCAGGAGGTGTGCACCTTACCTGACCGCACCTTGCCTGCTCCCTCTCTCTTTCCATTTCCCTTCAACGTTTGCTTGCGCCTCGCCCCGCGATCCTCTGGTGGGGGCGTGGCGGCTGACAGGCATGGAGCGGTCACGCGTGACTGCTCCCTCTCCCTAGCGCGCCTGGCGCCCACCTTGGAACGCGGCGTCCGCCAGCTAGAGCCGTATCTTCCTCCTCCTCCTCCTCCTCCTCCTAATCCTCCTCCCCCTCCTCGTCCCTTCTCCTCCTCCTCATCCTCATCCTCCTACTCCTACTCCTCCTCCTCCTCCTCCTCCTCCTCCTCCTCCTCCTTCTCCTCCCTTCTCCTCCTCTTCCTCCTCCTCCTCCTCCTCCTCCGCCTCCTCCTCCTCCTCCGCCTCCTCCGTATCCGTGTCCGTACCGTATCCGTATCCGTATCCGTATCCTCCTCCTCCTCCTCCTCCTCCTCCTCCTCCTCCTCCTCCTCCTCCTCCTCCTCCTCCTCCTCCTCCTCCTCCTCCTCCTCCTCCTCCTCCTCCGTCCCTCCTCCTGATTCCCTCCTCCTGATTCCTCCTCGGCTCCTCGTGCCAGTCCTGGAACGTGGTCGGCGCCGTTCCGCGGCGGAGGGAGCTCCCCCAGGAATCCTCGGATCCCCCTCCTGACTCCTCCTCCTCCTCCCTCCTCCTCCCTGCTCCTCCTCCTCCTCCACCTCCTCCTCCTCCTCGTCCCTCCTCGACCGATTCCTCCTTGGCTCCTCGTGAAGGAGCGACCCCAGGAATCCCCAGATCCCCTCTGGGCCAGCGCGGAGTCCAGCCCGCCCAGCCGCCGAGTGGGTCCGACCCTGGGCCCGCCGGGCGGCCGGAGGGGCCCAGGCGGCCGGAGGGGCTCCGGCGGCCAGATGGGCTCGGGCGCCGAGCCTCAGGCCTCCGACGGCTCGGCACTCTCGAGCCCCGGAGGCCCCCGGCCTCTCAACCCCACGAGGCCGGCTGTGCACCCCGAGCCGTGCTCCGACGCGCCCGTGGCCCCGGGAGACGGCCCGCAGAGGCCGAAGACGCGGGAAAGCAGCAGACGGGAGACGTGCTGGAGCAGGGCCGGGCACGGGTTCGGCAGGGGCCCCCGCAGGGTCTGGAGTGCCGCAGCTGCCTGGACGGGCGCTGGACGGCGTGCGGTTGAGCTCCGGGGCGCTCGCGGGGCGGATGCCCGCCAGCTCGCTCGCGCGAGCCCACGCCCGCTGGCTCACGCACTGGGGATGTGCCAGCGTAGCTCGCCGTGAGCTGGCCGCGTGCGGTCGAGAGATAGGGGCAGGAGGAGAAGGAGGAGGAGGAGGAGGAGGAGGAGGAGGAGGATGGCAGCGTCCAGCCGTGGGCCCCGATGCCAAACACGAGCGACACAGGTGGAGGAGGGCGTGGAGAAGGAGGGGGGAACGAATAGGAAGAGGAGTACGGGGAGGGGCAGGGGCATGGTTAGAGGGAGGGGTGGACGAGGATCAGGAGGAGGGGAGGAGGAGGAGGAGAGGAGGAGGAGAGGAGGAGGAGGAGGAGCAGGAGGACAACTGAGGAGGAGGGAGGAGGAGGAGGAGGAGGAGAGAAGGAGAGGAGGAGGAGGAGGAGAGGAGGAGAAGTTGAGGAGAGGGAGGAGAAGTGTTGGAGGAAGGGGGGAGGCGGAGGAGGAGGAAGAAGAGGAGAGGAGGAGGAGGAGGAGGAGGAGGAAGAAGAGGAGGAGGAGGAGGATGAGGAGTTTAGAAAGATGTGCATGAGGATGAGAAGGGGGAGAAAAGGAGGAGGAAAAGGAGGAGGAGGAAGAGGACGACGACGGGGAGGACGAGCAGGTGGCGGAAAAGGAGGAGGAGGAGGCGGCCCAGCAGGGGGGAGGATGGGGGGGGAAGGAGGAGAGCGGAGGAAGAGGAGGAGAAGGAGGGAGGAGGAGCAGGGGGAGGAGGAGGGAGGAGGGGAGGACAGAGGAGGGAGAAGGACGCCTCCACACGCACGCCAGAACGCCATGCAAGCCATCGCCGGGCTCCGCCCCAAGCTCAAGAAGGACAACGCGAAGCGGCCTGGCACGCGGATCCTGAAGGAACCCGAGGGCGGTGCCGCGATTGCGACGTACCCACAACTCGGTGTTCGATTCGGGGCGGTTGGATTTGCTTACTTTGAGAATCACGAGGCTCCTCTTGGGACTTCTAGCCTACGAAGAGCGGCCCGTCGTGCAAAACCAGTCGAATCACGAAAGGTGGGGTCGAGAGCTTCGGGCCTCCGTGTACTAGAAAGAGTCAGGACGTACCCGTCTGCTCTCGCTCGTCTCACTACGATGTCTCTCGTCTCCCACTCGCCCTAACCCAGCCCTTTCTCCCCCCCCAATCCCCTTCCATACTCGTTCAATCAGAATACTACGGTCCTCCCTCCCCGAACTTCTGCATCGGCACTCCCGACCCCGCCTCGCAATGCTTTTCCTACGCTGGGATTGACCAGGTTCCCCAACCCGTGCTTGCACTTATGGGGTCCCCCGTACTGCTCTTCTGAGGGGAAGTCGGTCCGGGTGGGGCCCCGGCGGCCCCGTTGCAGCCCGTCGCCGCCGCCCCACTGCACCCCATTGCGTTGCAGGCGCGGTTCCTTGCAATCGCATGGCCTTGCAGCACCGCGCCGCGGAACATCTGCGAGCTCGCCAAGGGTTGCAGGGCTTGCATCTCCCTGGCCCCACGCTCTCGTTCCGCGATGCAGAGCGTTGGTGTTGAGGCCGTCAAGGCTGCCAACGCTCTCTGCAATGTTGACCTGTTGCCCCGCGTCCAGCGGCGACTCGGGATTGGCGCCGCTGCGCGAGGTCGCCACCGCGGATGACGAAGCAGCGGCCGTTCGACGCGCATCCCTTCGCACCAGCGACCCGCGCGACGTGCGCCAACTCCAGGATCCTCGCCGCCGCGAACACGCTGGTGGACGCGCGCAACAAACGCATTCTCAACGTTCTGGAACGCACGTGCTTTGCCCGCCCAACCATTTGCTCAGCGCGGACACGCTGGACATCGATTCCACTGGCCTTATCGAGCCGCACCTGACTGCGGAGTTTCTCACGCTCCAGAACAAACGCGGCGCGCCGCCCCATGACTTGCGCGCTGGGGTCCGGGGCCTTCGCGAACCCACAAGGAATTTTCACCCTGCCGAGCCGCTCATGGACCACGCGCCGGTCATAGTCACAGCGGTCCACCACCGCCACATCTTCATAGAGACTGCGGACGGCCCCGATTATCCTTAACCGCGCATCGTTTTCCGCTGGCAGATTGCCCACGGCGCGCCCACAGCGCCCCGCCGACGCCATCCTCTGCGGGCGGCTCGCGCGCCCATTTTTCATGGAGGGCTGGGCCGCGCGCTCGCGCGCGCGCGACTGGACGTGCGCCGGGGCCTCCTCGCTCGCGGGCATCTCTACGCGGGCGTCAGTCGGGCGAAGCACCGCGCCGATACGCGCGTTTTCCCCGATTGTGAGAATCTTGACCAGGACAGCAACGCCTTGGCGCGCAACGCTGCGCGGCCTGAACTTCCTGCGCGATCGGACCCGCCCCGCCCGAAGCAATCGGGCCTTGCGCCTCGCAAGCGACCTGGCGCCTGCCGATGATGACCGCAGAAAATACCTTCATTGCGTGCCCGCACCTCTTCTAACGCTCGGTTTCGCCGCCCCTTTTTCCAGCGATGACCTCCACCCCCCGCGCGGTCATCAGCGTCGCCCCTCGCCGCGCCACCCTTTGTCCCTTTTCCGAAGATCGCCGCATCCACCCCGCCACGCTGTCATCGTCTTCGTCGTCTTCCTCCTCGTCCTCGTCCTCGAAGCTCGAAATTACCCCATCCATGTTCTCACGCCGCTCATGCTCGCGGCGCTGCTCCTTGACCGTCACGGCCGCGACCCCCTTCGTGGTCATCGTTTCCTCCCAACCCGCTCATTGGCAACTTTGGCCTCGTCGCGGCAACGCTGCTTTTCCCATGCAAGAGACATGCCTGAGACCCGTCCCGGGATGATGACCGTGACCCTTCTCGGCGTCATCATCTGATTGCACCCATCATTCATTCAACGAGTGATTGGATGTGCGAGGACGCAGGACCATGATTGAGGCGAAGCGAAACGAGCCCTCAAATCCTGCATTTGAAAGGTTGGGGGGTTGGAATGGAAACGACCCCAACCGCGAAATCGGTGTCGGTTGCGGTTCGTCTCGCGCGTGCGGGCGAGGCGAAGCTGCGCGAGTTCCATCCTTAGTAGAGACCATACATTGCCAAAGAGGGCGCCCCCCGAGCGCCGGGCGCGGCCCACGGTTGTCCCGGCGGTTGCCCCGATGGTTGTCTCGATGGTCGTGGTTGTCCCGATGGTTGTCCCGATGGTTGTCCAAACGGTTGCCCCGATGGTTGTCCCGATGGTGGTCCCGATGGTTGTCCCGATGGTTGTCCCGACGGTTGTCCCGATGGTTGACCCGATAGTTGTCCCGATGGTTGTCCCGATGAGTGGTAACCAGATGGGAAGATGTTGTTACATGTCGTCCCGATGGTTGTCCCCATTGTTGTCCCCATGGTTGTCCCCATGGTTGTCCCGATTGGTGTCTCGATGGTTGTCCCGATGGTTGATCGGTTCATTTATATGTATATGTTTATATAGATGCAAGTCGATACACACATATCGATAAGCGAATGGTTCCATATAGTGATATATGTGTATATGTATGTATCGACAACAAATATCAAAACGTACATAGCTATTTATCGATATACAGTTATATAAAGTTTATATATATTATATGTGTACACAAATATGTGTCGGTAGACAGATAGATGTATATATACACACGAATGTATAAATATCATATAAGTATATATTGGTTGACTGGATGTTTGATTGTTCGGCTGATCGACAAATTCATGAATACATGTATATACAGGGATAGACGGTTGTCCCAAGTAGATAACTACCTATAGGTAGATATCTAGATGGACAGATGTGCGCAATCAGAAAACAATTGAAAAAACCACTAAGGAACCCGGAGCCATCGCAAATCGATCGCCTCCCCCTTCCCCCCACAACCTCATTATCACCCATAGGGTGGTCCTGTCGGTCTGTATATAAGAGAGACAGAGAGAGAGAGACAGAGATAGAAAAGAAAGAAAGAAAACAAGACCAAAAGGAGAGAGAAAGAGAGAGAGAGAGACAGAGAGATAGAGAGAAAGAGAAAAAGAGGGAGAGAGAGGAACAACATATACATGGAGAGAAAGGAAGCATGGATAGCGAAAGGAAACGTGGGCGAGGATGAATGGCTGGGAGAAGGAGGGAGCCAACTTGGAGGGCAGCAGGGATGGATGACACGAAAGGAAGGAGAGAGAGAGAGAGAGGGAGAGAGACAGGCGCGAGGGGGGAGGACAAGTTCATGGCCGTCGAGCAGGCGGTGGGGCTCAAGAAGGGTCGCCCGGAAGGCCCTTCGCCGAGCGACCATGGGCGTGGAAGCATTGAGAAACGAGGGGGCCGAAGACGGGGTCGAGGACCGATAGGATGACGTACGTTGTCTCAAACACCGTGTCCAATCATCATGTTTCGTCTTGCCCGTCTTGCTCTCGCTCCTCCTCCTCCTCCTCCTCATCTTCCTCCTCCTCCTCCCCATGCTCCTTTTTCGACTCCCCCTCAAACAGGCCACTCTGGGCCGAGACTTTAGACATACTGGCTTCTATTGGTGTTCGTCGTCGTCCTCCTCCTCCCCCTCCTCCAGCATGGGTTCCATCCAGCGAGTTGAGCTTGCGGCCTGTGCTGGGGCCTTGCTGCCGATGCACAGCGGGGACAGTGGCCGAGAGCCACAAGACGAGGAGCAGGGGGGGAGGGAGCAGGGGCTAGGAAAGAGGGAGCGGAGAGGAGGAGGGGAGGGAGGAGGGAGGCGGCGCCATCGGTAGCGCCCAGCTCCGTGCCTGTGTTCGCTCTCGGCCCAAGGCTCATCTTAAGAGGCAGGGCTGGACCTAAGCGGTGTGTTTGGCGATTTCGGTTTCGTTTTGCGGTAAAGGCGAATTCGAGAGAAAAGCGAGGGAAAACGAAAACAAACCGAAAACGAAAAACACAGTTTAGGTTCAGCCTTGTTCAGAGGTAGCCGTGATTAGCCAACGAGCTTCCCTGCGGCAACGGGCAGCTCCCTTGAGGAGCACTGGACTTCAGCAGGTGGGAGAGGGGAGGCAGGAGCGGGGCGGCGCCGAGCAGACGGCGGGCGTCTCTGCGTCTGTGGCGCGCGCCCCCGGCACGCCCGTGCTCTACGCAAGAGGAGGCGGCCGCAGGCAGGCGCACGCGGCATCCCCGCACGGGCGGCGGGGGAGGGAGGTGTGCGACTACTGAAGGAACCGACCAGCAGCGGCCAAAAGAAGGGGGCGCCTCGCGGCATGCACCGCGGTGGCCCGAGGGCTTGGACCTGGCGAGATCGAGCGACGATCAGGTGGGAAAGTAGCACACAGACACCGATCATCGCCGATCCCCCAGCAAACATGGAACAGTTGAACATGTGGGAGATGGAGGGGAAGACGAACATCCAGGAAATATGGAAAACATAGGGAGTCCTGGGATTTCTATCTACTTGTGTGTCCCTGGGCCCCTTCAGACGAGGCGATCGCCATGCAGCCGGCCATGAGAAACATTGCCTCCGCCGCGTGAGCACCGCCCTCGGAGCGGCGCGTGAAAGACGGTGAAGCTCCCGAGCTCCACGTGCTCGGGAAGGCGCCAGTTCGGGGAAGGGGCGCGTCCCAGGGGCAACGATAAGGGAGGGATGGGCGTAGGGGGGATGCATCAGCCCTCAATCACCCATTGATCGCCGATAGGGGCCCGATAGCCCCAACCTGCCCAGGAACGTGCGGATTCCTTATCGGGCGCCTATCGCCGATCTATCGGCGATGTATCGCCGATTCCAGGTCAGTGTTCCCCCCCCCTATGCCAGTCCCCTCCTACCGTTGCCCCTATGAGGGTCTCTTTGAACGTCCATGGCCTGCGGCCCGAGCGGGGGATCAAGCCACGGCGGGATCGGGATCCCCAGGTGAGAAGAAGAACTATGAGGAGGATAGGGAGGAGGAGGAGGATGGGGAGAAGGAGGAAGATATCGAGGAGGAGGAGGAGGAGAAGGAGGAGGAGAAGGAGGGGAGCGGAAGGGAAAGGATGAGTTGAGGGACCCAGTCCAGCGATACCCTACGCTCCTCCCGTGGGAGGCGCTCCCCACGCCTTGGACATGGAGGGCCCCACCTCCGCCGATCCTCGGGACTGCTGCCCGTCTACTTGCCGTCCCGAAGATGAGGCGGCTGCACGGACCGCCCACCGACTCGACCAGCGGAAGTGCCCCGGCGATCTCCGATTGTTGAACGGAGCGCCCCGCTCCATAGGGGGGGGGCGGTCTGGTTACACGAGGCCTTGGTGGTCCGCGTGGTGCCAGGGGCTCCCGAAGAAAGGCAGTGCAAGAAGCACCCGACCACAGGAGTAGATGCTCGAAGAAGAGGCTGGTCAGCTACAGCATCCCGCTCTCCTGGCGTGAAGTGCTCGCGCGCGATGCCGACCCCGAGACGGCAGGCCCCCACGAGCATACGCGAGCGATCATCAACATTAGATGAGGCTGAGTAGACCACCCACCCACTCTTGCAGGTAACTCTGGCCGCCAAAAAGACGTTGGGAAACGCAGCTCGGACGTCATGTTGCTCTGCCCTCTCCTGGATATGCGGGCACTCATGGAAATAGTATCGAACACTCGGAGGAGGGCAGCTACACCACTTACCGTCTGAGTCGCAACCACGAAAAGTTGACAACATCATCTTATCCTCCGTCGACAGCGTGCTTGCATACTTGCGATACACGTCGATACTGCTTAAGTACAAGAGCTCAACCAGGAACCTCATCCAGAAGGCATGTCCCTGTCCCCGAACTTGATCGGTGACTTCCTGCACCATGGGACCAGAATCCTCAGGAACCCTGAGTCGAATACCCTATTCCGCGTTATGATCTATGTACTCGAGGCCTAGTTGACGGAAGTGGGCCTGGAGGGCCCTGCTCAGAAGCTCGCTCGAGATCAGAGTTGCGGACAACATCGTCTTCACATTCTGCAAGCACGTGGAGTACATTAGATGGAGTTGCACACGCTGCGCCCACCACCTCCCAGCACACCACCAGCTGTTCCCGTCCGAAGTACAGCTTTCAAAAGCTCCCCTGGACCCACCGAGGTACCAGTTCCACGAGCGGCGTTGGCCAGAGCCACAGGGTCCTGACACAGGCCGACGCAGGTCATTCGATCTTGCACAGCACCCCCAGGAACATGTTTGAGTGTCCCGACCGCCACATCTAAACTTTTCCACCCGCCACGGGGGCGGAACGGTTTGGTAGGGTCGGCAGGGTCACACATCATCCCCAAGTGTTCGATGTTGTTCTCTTCATACTGGCGTTCGCAGGCGTTCTCCACGAGTCTTGGATCGAAGTCCTGAGTCTTGGACAAGCCTTCATCTATATCTGCATATGTTTGGTCAACCCCTGCTGTCAATGATCGGTCATCCATATATTCCCATCTGTCTGCAGGATCCGCATTCCATGGCACAAGCGTCCCCCCCATGGCCCCAGGAGCACACGAATCACCTTGCGGTAACCCTGGCGTACACACAGGGTAGGAGACATGTGATTCTGAACGCAACATACCCTCGGCCCTTCCCACGCACGTATGCATTATGCTTACGAGGGAGGATGGTACTTGCTCGGTCCCTAACGCTGCGGCTGCTACATACTGGCCCACCTTATCAGATTCGTTGGAAAGGTCCATGTCCAAGCCTTTGCGGACCTTGACTGATAACCACGCCGGTACTGCATGAACCACACGCACACCTCCTTTACATGTAGATTGGTCTGCCGCCGTTAGTAAATCTGCCGCCACAACCGGGAGCCAGCACCGTACAAGAATTGATGACATTCCGATTGGGTTGTTTTCGGTTTCATCTTTTTGGGGTTCCCCTGACACGCTCCATATAGAGATCTGTTTCAGAAGATCCTTGTCCAATCCACCTTTCACGATCACAGCGAAACACGTTGTAGAATACCAGAGATCATTCAGCTCATCGATGATGAAGGGCGCCACCTTCAGAGCAATCGAACTTCGGCGGCACTTCGCCCATTCACACCCGATGCACCTTTACACTTCTTGATGTGTGCTATGAACCCCGCTTTCGGGGGAACCCGATCTGTTGGCTTGTTATTTGTCGGGGTCGTCGTTGTTGTTGCTGCTACTGGTCACTTCTTCCAATGTGCTACTTTAGTTGTGTTTTCGTAGCCTCTCGGCCTCCACACGGGCTTCCATTCAGCACGCACAGCTGCAGCATCAAATCCCAGATTCGGGAACCAAGCTTTGAATACAGGCGTCGCCAAATTCCATTGATCCTTGCCCCACTCCTGGAAAATGACACCCCAAAGGTTACGCGTGTTGGCGATGATCTTGCTCTGCTCGGTGACGATGGCTTTGTTCACGATGTCCAAGGCTTGGCCGTAATTTGGTCATCCATCCACCGATTAACTCAGTTTGTCTTCGATTGCGGACACGAATGCAGCCAGATGTCGAAAGTCTAGTGCTTCGCTTACTCCCACAGGTAAACATACTGCTCCTTGACCGACCTATGCAGACGACGAAGGTGACAAAGGGCCACCGTCTCAGATAGACAGTGGGCGGGAGGATGAGTGCATGGTTCGGAGGTGGGATAGGCACCGTTTTCCTGGTCAGTAGCACGAGCGACTTGAACCCATTTCTTTTTTCTTTTTTTCTTTGGAAACATGTTGGTTCAGCCCAGACATGCCACGCTTTAGGCAAACACGTGTTCTTCTTTAGAAAAGTGTAGTCGATGAGGCATCCAATAGACGAGGTACAGGGTTCTGATTGGTGCAAATTTTCAGATTGTTGCTCAGGCTCGTTGGGGCTCGCTTTTGTACTTGACATTCTCCTATTTCGAAGACACGCAACCCATGATGTCTCCTAGAAGTACGTGCCGATGTGCGTGGTGGGGAAACCGCATTTCCCGCAACGGATGCCGGGCAAACATCAAACGTACGAGACCAGCCAGGTCCCAGGAGATTGGTGCACTTGGGGAACAAGTTAAAGTCCCCGAAGACGACGATACACTGAGTGTCACTTTGGGCCCAATCAAGGGCCCAAAAGGGCCTTGCTAACCCAGGTGCGATCACCACGAATAGGTCCATTGGCACTCACGACCAGCACCCTGGCGGCTTTAACATCTACAGCAAGATGATCGAGATCACTCTCCCGGAATGCTTTGATGTTGCCGGTACTTGTTTCGCATAATATTGTAGTGCATCCGATGCTTTGGAAACCAGCGGATGTCTTCGGCGGCGGAGGGGAGCAAGCCACTACCCACCCGTACGTATTGGCAAGGGTGATCAACCATTTGGGTCTCAATTCCCAGTTCTTGATTCCTTACCAGGTCGTGATATTGACGTTCTTGGCTTTCGTGATGCTTGTATATTGCCTCGGCCCTGGCTGTCGTAAGGGATGAAACCATGATGGACGTAATACGGTATGGACCAGTTGAGGCTTGACGAAGCTCGTCATCACTTTCCCACCCCCGAAGAACTGGGCGCCACTTTGCCGTGTGAATTTTTCAACTGAAATTGCAACAGTGCATGGTGTGTGACGTTCTACAGAAGGCTGTCGGGTATAAACAACCAGGTGTCGTTCACTGGGTACCCGCGAGGCTGTCGGGTATAAATTGCTAGGAGTAAGGTTTCCTGATATCCTGCAATCTTACTTGAGGCCATCATCTTGATACGGTTGGGGTATCCTCTGTGATGAGCATGCTCCTGTTTTTTTCCGCATCCAAGAAAAGGCAGTGGCCGGCGATTTGAGCCCTTACTGACACCAGCGGCGGCCGACCACCGAGAATTTGAAGTACCAATGAGCCCACCATCTGAACAATTTGAGTCCAGCAGCCCGTGAGACAACCTCTGTGGTGCACATGGTCCTGACTTTTCTCCTCGTCCTGGCAAAGGCAATGGCTGACGAGTTGAGCCTTTATCTGCATTGGTGACGGTCGACCACCATATTGCCAGACAATTGCCATCCATAGATAGTCAAGACGACGCGGATGTACGCTTGGCCTCTCGAAGTTGTAGTCGGCATTGCTTGCAATGTTCCTTCCTCCTATCGGTCCACTCGGGGTCAGTGGCACGCTTCCGATTTCGGTATTCAGTCTAGCGATCTCGGATCTGCTTGGCGAACTTCGCGTTGTAGCGCTTGGCGTGCGCCGCTCTCACTACTTCATATTTCGTGCGCGATACTTGTGCTTTCGCCCACTTCCACTGATCATGAAGTGTTGGTTGCAGCCGACGTTGCTGAGCTCGCCTGTGTGCTCCATCGCGGACCTTCTGGTCGAGGCGTTTCGTTCAGTTGATGCCCAGAGTTGACTTCTGGAGGTGCTTGACGGTGAACCTCACGGGCCTGCAGGTACAGTGTCGGACCTTGGTGTTGCCCACTCGCTTGTACTTGCCGTACCTCGTGCACATGTAAGACTCCTTGGTGCCAGCTCCACGTGCCACCTAGGAGAAATCAAGAATACAGAAAGCCTCCCGGAACTTCGCATTCAGCGTCGCCTTCCATTGTTCGTTCATCAGTTTGGCGCCTAGACGCGTCTGACATCTGAGGCTGGCTTCACGTCGGATTGCAGTTGCCTTGCCCCAGTCCGTAATATTTTGCGTCCTCGGTGGCGGTTCCCCCCGGCAAGCTAACCAATATTGTTTGGTTTCCGATCTCTGTTTCGACGCGTTATGGCCAGGGGTAGGGCGCCACCCACTTGTGCATTTGAGGTGATCACTAAGTTTTCGAAGGGCAGTGTCTCAATCACCATCCTCAGACTCTGGTATTCCTCAGAACACGTGTGCTTCTGTCGCCAGCCATTTCGAAGGTGCTGCACCAGACGATGTACTCGGTACTCCAAGAAACATATTGGCCTGCTCGACAGCAGACGAGTTTCCAGTTGCAGAACGGACGCTGCCAGTGCCAGAGCCGCCAAAGCCCATTGGATATGGTTACGTTGCCTACCGCCAGTTTGCAAAAGTATGCCCGTCAAAGGGCTGCTTAAAGACAAGTCTCTCACAGTGCTGCTTCTCCCACACTCGCCAGATATTCTGCTTGTGTTGATTCGCCTCCGCAGGTAGTTGGCCATATAGGGTCCATCGGCCGTCAGCCGACTTCGCCAAAATCATCACCTCCGTCTTCGTAGCCAATGCCGCTGCGCGTACGCCCAAGTTGGTGACGGGCGTCTTGCTGGTCGCTGTCTGCGTGATGATGCCCGCCCCCTTAGCAATACCGAATTTGTTTGCAGCGGTGCGTCGATCGAGGGCCGATATACGAGGCGCCCATTGGTTGCAGGAGCCAGCGCCTGGACCCGCTGGAAGTAGACTGAGTGCTTCTCCGGTTCCTGCTGGTTCACGACATTCGGGATCTTCGTTGATTGCTGCTCTGTCAGTAAAACTCTATTTGACAACACGGTTGAAAACAGAGGTTGGCGAGTTTCCCCTTAAGAATGACCACGCACGTGACTTCACTTGAATGACCAATCGCACCCTCGATTTCCAGCAGCGACTTACATTGAGCTGAGGCCAGGGCGAGAGTTGGCAGCGACAGCGTGTTTTGTTGGGCCTGTCCTCCAACATCTCGCCGTCGCAGCAATATTGAGCGAACGACAGCCTCGCCGTGAACGTGTTCACTTTGGGCGAGGCTCCCGTATCAGCACGAAGAGTGTCTAGCAAGACAGTTTTCGGGGGGGGGGGGGGCGCCTCAGCTTCAGGGAGAATCCACGCTTTGACTTGCTGGGGTCCGATCTGCCCCATCAAGAAGTATGTACATCTGATGGCGCAGCCTTGACTTCCTCAATCCAAGTTGAAGGGCCGTCGTTTTTGAAGAACGTACCGTAGGCGATGGGTAAAGAAGAGTTTCTCGCTCTTCTCCATTTTTTTGCATGATTGAACCCCGCCTCAGTTTGGCCAGATCCTAGCACAGCATTGCAAATTCTTTCATCTCGGGTAGAAGCCGCTTGAAGAACTGGAACGCCCTTGAAAGCTAGAGTCCTCAATCGGTAACGCGGTCTTGTAAGCGACGCGGGCGTAGAAGAAGCACTTGACGTTCGAGAGCCAGGTTTCGTGCGATTCGCGTGGGTGTCGGTCAGGCTATCCAACGTTACGACAACGTCAGCATCGTCGGAGGTGCACTTGGCCGAGTCGGCCTTGCTCAGAAGAGTACGTACTTGAGCAAGAAGAGGCCCGTCCGTCGTTTCAGCCGTGGAGTTGCCCTCACCGCCAGCCTGGCCCTGTTGACGTAGTCGTATTCTGCTGCCGCGTATGTTTATCCGCGCTGCGTTTCCCCATCAGCGAATTGAGTTGCTGCTGCATCTTCTGGATCGTCAGAGCGTAGTTTGCCTGCGACGCCTTAGCCCTTCTCGTTGCAGCTACACTCTTGCCGCCACGCTCGCCTCCCTCTACCCGGGGATTGGTCCAGGTGGCCACATCTTGAGGTTTTTCCCACGTCAAAACATCACCTGCAACACATGCAGGAGACTCTTGGGACTCCCATTTGACACCAAGGTTCTCCTCCGGCTGACCCATCGAACGCGAGGGCGGAGTTCCTGATTTCGCCCGGGAGTGTGGTGTCGTCATCGACGAGGCGCCCGAAGAAACGCTAGACAAGTAGCACGCCCAGAACCGTGGGGGAGGAGGGAGCCGGGAGAAGTGAGGAGCAGAAGACAGGAGCAAGAAGGGAGCACAGAGGAAGAGGAGAGAGGCGGATGACAAGGGGAACAGGGAGGAGGGAGGAGGCAGAAGGGGGGTGGGAGGATGGAGGAGGGATATGAGGGGGAAAGGGAGGAGGAGGAGGAGGTGGGAGGAGGAGGAGGAGGGAGGAGGAGGAGGCAGGCAGTAGACGGGAGGAAACAGGAGGCGGAAGAACACATCGAGAAGTTGCGGATTTGTTTGGATGCGGATAGATTGTATGCGTCAGGGTCTAGACTGCTCGAATGTTCCACGCGTTGGACATGTTCCTTTATTGCAGCATTTCTGCTCTGGCGGGGACCTCGCGCAAAGGCTTCAAGGCCTTGTCGGATTTCATTACAGAGGCAAAGAAGTCTGGACTTATCAAAGATCTCATGAAGAAGTTCAAGGTTGACAAGGACCCTCATTGATGTGCTGTTCGCATGGGCATTCGGCCAGCATGGATGACACAGATGTTTCATACATGGGCTGATGGCACACCAGTTGCAAATATCCTGCGGGCATTGTTGGGATACCGTGTTATGCTACCTATGGCCAGGGCATGTGTCGGGGAAACGGTATGGTTGGTGTAGGGGTGTAGAGGGTGTGCATGCGCTCCAGCAAGCAACGAGCCAGTATAAACAGTTGGATGGAGGACCTCGCAATTCCATGAGGTCATGGTGGCTGCAACTGCTGACGCGTAGCGGATGACCGACCCGATAGAGCTAGCCGTTTTCACCAAATATGTGTTCGGTTTTCCTTGCGATCTTGCAGCCAAGGTGTCTCTGTTGGTGGTCCATCCACCTCGCGCTCTCCAAGACCGTGGGAATGTCATGGGAAGAAGGAAGTGGAGGAGAAAGGGGAGGATGGGGAGGAAGGGGAGAGGAGGAGGAGCAGCAGGAAGAGGAGGAGGAGGAGGAAGCGGAGGAGGAGGAGGGTAAGGGAGGAGGAGGAGGACCAGTGTAAACCCAAGAGTCATCAACGATGTTGGAATAAACCTTCCCTTCAAGCTCCCTCTTCATAGACCCATTTAACGGTTCATTTCAATTGAGGGAATTGCCTCGTTGGAAGATAACGGTTTGAAGACCCTGAAGCATGCGTAAACATTGTTTCCGGGATTCCAACATGGATCAACCGGACTGTTGCGTCTTGACGGTCCTAAATCGTGCCAGAACGCCCTTCCTGGGACTTTAACACCGCTAATCAACGTAATTGTGCGCCCACATAATACTTAATCAGTCCTAAACACCATTTCTGGTACGTTGATCCTTGGAATCCGTGAACCTCTTTCACAGTTTGTATTCGAATGCGCGCGGTGCTAAGGCGAGAGACAGCCACATGTTCAAAACGACTTTCCCTCGATCCGTGAAACTCTTGCAGATATTTAAAACAAATGTGCGCGGCGCTAAGGCGAGAGTCACATTTTGAAAACGACTCGCCCTCAATCCGTGAAACGATTGCACATGGTTTAAGCGAATGTGCGCGGCGCTAAGGCGAGAGCCACATTCTGATAACGACTCGCTCCCAATCCGCGAAACTCTTGCACATGGTTTGAACGCACGAACGCGGCGCTAAGGCGAGAGCCACATTTTGAAAACCACTCGCCCTCCATCCGTGAAACTGTTGCCAAATTTTAAGCTTCAGGGTCATAAGTGGTGAGGAAGTCTCGGGCGAAACGCCCGGCCCGCCCTAAAAACTGGCCTCGGGGTGCGACAGGGAGACGTTGTTATAAAGAAAAGGAATGGGGAAGGAGGGGGAGGAGGAGGAGGAGGAGGAGGAGGAGGAAGAGGTCGGGCAGTATCGACCATCGACGCCAGTGCCGTCAGTCGGAGGTCGCAGGAGGAGGAGGCACAGGAGGCTTGCCTGGCCTGGCTTGGCCCTGAGGCGGTTCAACACCTGGGACCCGTCGGCCGCAGCTCGCTCGACGGCCTGTCGCACAAGCTTCTGCACGCGGGGACGGGTGCCGACTGTTAGACTTATCGGAAACTGGATTGCTCGTTCGGTTGTGGTAAGCAGTCAGCGCACCGCTGTATCGTGACTGCGATGCAGGTTCCTTGAGCCAAACAGCGCCACCCTTTGCCGACTCGAGATAATAATAATAATAAAAAAAAAAAAAAAAAAAACTTCTGCACGCGGGGACGGCCCCTGGCGCCCGGACCGAACGCTCGAAGCACACCCTGCGGCCCGCAGAACTCATCCCTGCCCCAATCGACGGGGCCAGGACGAGGAGGAATCCGTTCCAGAGCGTTCCGGAAGGCTCTCAGAGCGTTCGGGAACGCTCTGAGAAGGCCTCGGCGTCCGAGACATCGTCCAGGGCCGCCGGATTTCAGAGAGTCTCGGTTCCCCTTCACCCGACTGCATATCCTCGTCCTGGCTTCGTCCTGCCCAAGCCGACGGCACCTGTCCCTGTCTGGCGGGCTCGGGAAGCGCATGGGAGAAGGAGGAGGAGGAGGAGGAGGAGGAGGAGGAGGAGGAGACGAGCAGCGCCGCGGCCGGCCCCTAAGGAGCACACTATGCATCGGCGGCGGGCGAGGGGGGAAGTGAGAAAGGAGAAGGCTCTCTCAGAAGGCGGCGGGATTTCTCGGAAGCCCTCGGGCCTTCCGGGAAGTGTTCTGCGTCTTCGGAGAAGGCTCAGAACACTTCTCAGGAGGCAGGGGTACTTCGAGACCTCTGAGAAGGTCCGCTCCCTCTCGCTCCCCCCGGGGCGCGCCGCCAAGTGCAGGAGGAAAGGAAGGCGGGGGAAGAATACGAAGGCGGTGGAAGAGGGTGGTGCAGGAGGGCGTGGAGCAGTGGGTTCAGAGCAAACCCGCACACGTCAGTGATGCTGCAACACACCCTCCCGTCTTAAGCTCCACTCGTGATTATCACACACAAGCGTTCCCGATCGTTACGGCGAGATTTCGTTTGAACGCAGGTTGGTGACTCGGGAAAGTTGGAATGGTAATCATCGCACGGCTCTGCCATAAGCTCGGGACTAAGGAGGGCTGGAAGGTTCAGAACCCGACGGTCCTTCCATGAGATGCGGCCTTGGGAGGATTGGGAGGCTGAAACAACTAGATCATTCAGTCAAATCTACAAAACAACGAGCGCAAGCAGGTCACACCCGAACTGAATAAAGACTCGGAGAATGAGTAGGCAGACGGGGACGAGCAGGATGAGGAGGAGGACAAAACAGGAGGTCATGGAAGATGCGAGAACCGTCACCCTGCTTCATATGTGGTCCGGGGCGTTCCCTGAGGTCCGCAAACAGATAGGCAGCAAAGGGATCTCGATCACTATGCTCACGCGCTAATGTACGACGGCTGATATCTGCATGTGGAGGTGGATGACGACGATGCAGAGTAGGGGACTCTTAAGGATAATACGCAATGCGCACACCGTTGACGCCATGCTATCCGACGGCCCTGATTGTGAGTATTGCATCCGCTTGTTCAAAAGCGCGCAGCAGTGGGCAAGAGGAATGGGAGGTGGAGGAGACACTGTTTTTTTTTTGTTTGGGCAGCGGCACGCCTCTGCTCTCACGGGGCGAGGCGTGCAGGCACCGAGGACGGCGCCGTGCGGCGAGCCCGTGGCCACGGCCCACACCCGCAGGCCTCGCAGAGGCCCTCTCTCTGCCCGCCGCCGGCACGCACGAGGCACACCCTCCGAGCTGCGAGCTGTGTGCCAGCCCGCAGCTGCCGGCTCTCCTCCGTCTTACCTCCGCACGAGCACGACCGGGGGGCCCGTCGAGCTGTGGCGGCGACGGCCCCGCTTGCCTCGAGGAAGCGCCGCACACGGTCTCTCACCACCCACAAAAACCACCCCAACCCAACCCGAAGGCTCAGATTTACCCTCGATTTCCAGTGGGGGGGGGGGATCGGGAAACATCGAACAAACACGCGTGGAACCCTTACCCCCCCCCCAACCCGAAGTTCGGGTCTTCGGGTTGGGTTGGGGTGGTCTGGTAGGTAGTCAGTCTCGATGGTGTCGCAGCCATCTTCGTCGGTTCCGTTTGCGCACTCATCGCGGGCGGCCGATGCATTTCGCAGAGCTTTGGGTCCTCGCATTCGCTGTGTCCATCGTGGCGCTGCCGTCGAGATCCAAGTTGCTCGTTGTGAACTTCGATCTGAGCATTGTTGATGGTATCGGTGCAGTAGTCGTGGTGAACGCATCCACACCTTGTTCCCTGCCAGGCACGCCCCCATCACGGGACAGGCCTACTAATTTCTTCTTGACTTGAATTGTGTCGAAGGTGTCGTTGCCATCAGCGCCAGTTTCCACCATGCCAATGGTTCTTCGACCATCGACGCCGTATTCGAAACCTAGTGTCGTCGCATTCTCTCTGTCTACGGTGCCATCGAAGCTATGTTGCACATTATGGGCCTTCTTCGCGCTGCCGGTGGTCTCGCTGCCGTCGACGCGGTGCAGTAGTCCCCCCGTCGGTTCCGCCACACGCGCTGGGCGGCTGCCTGCGGAAGCAAAAGTAGCCCCAACGTCTCTTTGGATCGCTACGGGGGTTCCGGAGCTGGCCAGATGCGAAGGGCCAACTGACCTCGGGATCTCCCTTGTCAGCCACTCCTTCTGCAGCGCCACCAAGGGCGTGCGCCACCAGGGCGCCCAGTGCCGCCCACTCTCGCCCGCCTGTGCGGGGGGAGAGGGGGGGGGGCTTCCCTCCGCGGCCTCTGCGGGCACCGCCAGGCAGGCGCGGCCATGGCTCGAGCCGAGCTGGCCACTCCGAGCTCCTGAGCGCCGCGCGGGCGGCGGCCCGAGCCGGCCTCCGCTGCGGACCGCCGCGCCGCGCGCAAGAGGCGCTCCAGCGCGGGCGCGGTGCGCCGACGAGGGGGGGGGGCGACGCCCGCCGGGGCGGGGGGGCCGCCCACGCTGCTGCCCGAGCGCAGGGCGCGGAGCAGGCGGAGCAGGCGGTGGACCAGGGAGCCGAGGGGGAGGAGGGGATGGGGATGCCGGTCCCTGGTCCTGCGAGCACCCTCTCGCGCTCTCTCGCGCGTTCTTTTTCTCTCGCTCTCTTGCTTTTTTGTGTTCTCTCTCTCTCTCTCTTTCTCCCTCTCTCTCTCTCTCTCTTTCCATCCATCCTCGTACCCCTGAATCGCTTTTGTAGCTCGCCCCGCCCTGGGCGAGAGATTTGAACAATTTTTCGCGGGCGACTAGACCTTCAGAGAGAGAGACCGGAAGTTTGAGCTTCCAGCGCGAGGAAAAGAGCTCTGCCATTGACGGGGGCGTCCCAAGCAGAGATCGAGGGTGGATCCAGGCAAACGGCAGAGCACTTCCCCTCACTATTTGCCCCCCCCCCTCCCCCTGCCCTCCCCCTGCCCTCTCCCTGCCCTCCCCTCTCCGTCCAATTCCCTCTGGTTTGCAGATCCTTGAAGGTGCTGCTGTCCTCATTGGCAAACGTCTGCACCTGTTTCGGCCCTGGTGCAGGGCGTGGAGCCGGCTCCCACCCCCCCCCCTCCTCGGCTCCTGCTCCTGCCCCTCCCTGTTCCTCTTCCTCCTGCCCACTTCTCCTGCTCCCGCTCGCCCTCGTCCTCGTCCACCTCTATTCGTACTCCCACTCCTCCTCGTCCTCCTGCTCCTGCTCCTCCTTGTTCCTCTTCCTCCTGCCGCTTCTCCTGCTCCCGCTCGCCCTCGTCCTCGTCCGCCTCTATTCGTGCTCCCGCTCCTCCTCGTCTTCCCTGCCGT